AAGAGCTACATAACTCTGGGCCTTACTTGTTCAAATACAAATAGTTCAGTCAAGTCCACTGACCTCAGAGTTTTTGTTGGAACGCTGGGGTGCAGCAACTCCCGTATATACGGAGGAGCGAGATTATCAGAGCCTTGAATGTAAGGAGGACCTTGAATTCAACACAGAATTTAACCGGTAGCGAATTAAATGATGCAAGCAGAGGGACGATATGTTCTCCACGGGGAGTTCGGTCAGGACCCTCGCACAGCTGCATTGTGAACAGACTGAAGTCTACAAAGCACCTTGCTGGAGGTTCCAGAGAGCAAGGGATTGTATGCGTGAGGAAATAAAAAACAATTTCTCCGCTTGAGAGGCTAAGAGGATGGGATATAATCAGGCAATTTTCCATAAATAATAAAATAAAATGGGACCTTGACGATTTTATTGATGTGTGCCTCGAACTTGAATGATGGATCAAGGAACACAGATTCCATTAGCATAACCTCCGTCTTATCCCCATTCAGCTGGAGGTGCTGCATCCAAAGCTTTCATGAGTGAAAGTGATCAGAGAACAGACGATTTGATTTGCAATGTGTAAATTGAATGTCGTCATCATAAGTGATAATTGAGACCTAATGACGAACAGTGGTACCGAACGTGGTTGTAAGGATACAGAAAATTGTACCCTTAAATCTTGACTTAAAGCTTTTGTATGTAGACACTGCCTCACCAATATATACTTCACCTGGAATGGAACATTTTACAAACAAGTTGAAGGCACCCCAATGGGTTCTCTCTTATCTCCGGTTGTAGCCAATGTTTTCATGGAAAATTTTGAGACAGACGCCATCCAGGCATCCACTCTACGTCCGTCCTTGTGGAAGAGGTACGTAGATGACACGTTCGTCATCTGGCAACATGGCCGACCAGCTCTGAATCAATTCCTCAACCACATTAATTCCATACACCCAGCCATCAAATTTACCATGGAGGTGGAAAGGATGGCAAGCTACCATTTTTGGATCTAATCGAAAAGAGACCAGATGGCTCAATGGGACACTGCTTACAGGAAAGCAACTCATACAGATGCCTCCCTAAAACCTGACTCCCACTACCATCCATCCCAGAAGAATTCCCTCATCAAAACTCTACACCATAGAGCTCGATGCATCTCCGACCACCATCACCTAGCCAGTGAACTGAAACATGTGCACCAAGCTCTCAAGATGAATGGATATTCGGACCACACAATCCGTAAAGCTACTATCCCAACCGTTGGGAAAGAACCATTTGAGGACCCAATCAAAACCATCACCTTGCCATACATCGCAGGGGTCACCAAAACGATTTAAAAAATCTTGAACACAAGATCCAGGTTCGATTTAACACAGTACATAAAATTAGTTTTCTGATCCCATCTGTGAATGATAGGATCCATGATATGCAATACCCTGGTGTCTACAAACTAAGCTGTGTCTGCGGCAGTAGTTACATTGAGAAAACTAAGCGACATGTCTCGGACCGTGTTCGTGAGCAGAAGGCAGATTTGAAACACGGTAGGACCAACACTTCGTCCGTGGCTGATCATTGTTTAAATGCGGTTGGCTCACATGAAATTGATTTCTCTAAGACGAAGGTACTTTGTAAGCCCACTGGCTATAACAAAGATTTGTTCATGAAGCCATCCAATAATACACAGTATACAATTTCAACCAAGAGGATGGGTACAAACATGGCAATCATTGGAAAGGCGTCATCAACCAGTTTAAGTCATAACTGACTGTGATGTTCCCATCCTGCCACCTTCCGATGTAATTTTTTTATTTTTTCCCCGTGGCTTTAGCTCTCCGATTTCACATTAACAGGTTGAATTTCTCGCGCCACCTCCGGACGACCTCTATTTCGCGGTGGCTCTGCGATCTTACATTAACATGCTAATCTCTCACATTAACATAGCCACCCTCTCACATTAACATAGCCACCCTCTCACATTAACATAGCCACCCTCTCACATTAACATAGCCACCCTCTCACATTAACATAGCCACCCTCTCACATTAACATAGCCACCCGCGCACTCGTCGCGGAGGCCACTCTCGATCCTACATTAACATCTCTAGCCCCGCCCACTTTATGACCTGAGGACTAAACCCAATAAAACAGTCTTCATTCAGCAGCTTTCGCCCTCTTTCCTCCTGATGACGATCACTTGTGTTGTGATCGAAACGTCGTAGATTTTTGTTTATTTTATATTTATTTGTATTAATTTGTACCTATCTACGTGACTTTACCGAAAGACCCAAAGTGGACCCTTCTTTTTGGTGATTGGACTCCGCCAAGGGTGCGTCTTGACTCCACTCCTATTTGTGACTTTCATGGACAGGGTATCAAGGCGCAGCCGAGGTATGGAGAGTATCCAGTACGGGGGCATGGAGGTGGTATCACTGCTTTTTGCAGATGATGTCCTCTTTGCCTCGTCAGTCTGTGATCTCCAGCATTCACTTGAATGGTTTGATGCCGAGTGTGAAGCGGCTGGGACGAGGATCAGCACCTCCAAATCTGAGGTAATGGTTCACTCCCGGAATAAAATGGATTGTTCTCTCCAGGTGAGGGGGAACAACAGCCCTTAGTGGAGGAGTTTAAGTACCTTGGGGTCTCTTTGGTGAGTGATGGTACGTGGGAGCGGGAGATTGGCCGGCAGATTTGTGCGGCGTCTGCAGTATTGCGGGCACTGTACCATTCCGTAGTCATGAATGGGAGCTGAGTTCTCGAACAAAGCTCTCGGTTTACAGATTAATCTACGTTCCCACATATGGTCATGAGCTTAAGGTAATAACTAAAAGATGAGATCGCAGGTACAAGGGGCCGAAATTAGGTTTCTCCGCAGGGTTGCCGGCCTCATTCTACGTGATCGGGTGAGGAGCTTGGTAATTCGGGAGAGCCTTAGAGTCGAGCCGCTGCTCCTCCAGAACGAGGAGCGAGTTGAGGTGGTTCTGTCACCTGGTAAGAATGCCCCCCGATATACTCTCCCTGGAACTCTACCGGGCACATCCCACTGGGCAAAGATCCCGGGGCCGGCCCAGGACACGCTTGCGGGACTATGTCGCTCGGCTGGCCTGGGAACGTCTTGGAATTCCCCAGGAGTCTGTCGCCAGGGAAAGGGAGGTCTGGGCCACCCTACTCAACATGCTGCTGCTGCGACCCTCACCAGGACAAGCGGATTGAGAAACGAAGTGGACCCAGGACAGAGCACCGGAGGATGCCAAATGAAACTGCTGGTTGTCTTAGCCACACAGGCTAAGGGGTGCCTTTGCGGATGTGTATGCTTTAAAACCATTTCTGTGACCAGTCACAAGCTAATCACTCAGCCATTTCAATGCTAAATTATATGCTAATTCCTTTGTAAAGGCACTTTGTTTCTTCTCACACAGCTTAAAGGTCGTGATCTGAGCGTGGCTTTTTTCACTCCAGCGCTGTCCTCCAGACAGTCTTGTCCCTTCACCTGATGAAGGCCGCTTGTGTTGTGGCCGAAACGTCGTGATTTTTGTTATTTTATTTTTTACCTACGTGACTTTACCCAATAGAACCAAAGAGTATAAAACCCAGATTGTTGGTCCGAGAGACAACTACACGTTCGAGAACCTTGGAAATAAGGGGCAGAAAGTGCGATAGTTGTTTGGTAAGAATCAAGGTCTGTTTTTTTTAGTGGAGTGACAACTGCGTGTTTGAATAGAGAGGGAACGGAGCCATACCAAAGGAATATGTTCAAGAGGGAGGTGACAAATGGACACAGCAGAGTTTTCAAGAAAGTTTGGTTGGAAAATGATCGAGAGCAGGTGGGTCAAGATTTGAATGCCAGAGCCGAAACAGGTGGCAATCCTAGGCGCACAGTTGAAGAATTGTTATTTCTAAACCATTGACCCGTTTACGCCATGTTGTACTAAATTTCTTATTGTTGTGTGATTATTTCTCAGTCATTTCAACGCAAAATTCGTTTCCCTCAACAAAATCCCTGCAGCCATCACTAGAGCCCGAGTAGGCCTCATATTTGCCACCATTTTGTTGTGACACGTGACATGGCGGCACGCGGCAGTGAGGGGCGGGGCTGGGGGGGCAGCGACAGTACACTGTACTGTATACAGTACTGTACAATTTGATTTCTTAAGATACACGTCTGGCATAGCGTGATAATCGATTATTTTGTATTGGGAGCGTAGTGAATCCACAGTACAAAGGAGACAATACACAAGGTCCAAAATAGTTTTTTTTATTAGATCGCGTAAATGTGTCGTTAAACCCAGTTGGGTTCTTTGTATGATAATAAACGCGCATTATGCAAGACCTGTGTTCTTGTACCTCTCTGTCGATTGTGTGCACTAGAATAGCCGTGCCTGTGATCGTTCAACGGTAATCCCTATTGAAGTATGGTGACCTGTATAGACACAATCTATTACTTGATGGTTCGTTTCCAAGCAGCACGAAGTCCCGAGATATCTGATGGTTTAAATTATTTTTATTTCACTACATTTTGATACGATTATCTCATTAGTCTTGGCCAGTTGTAACTAATTTTGCACAAAACTTCAACATTATCAAAATCAATTGATAATACTAGATGATACAAAAGGAAATATTGCAGATGAAACAATGACAAAACAAAATACTCTAGGTAGGGTGCAGGACATGGTGCAGACAATACAAACAAGCCAAGGAACAGGCAGTTCCAAGCAAACAGCACAGTTCAATACATACGTAAGGAAACTACATAAGGCAGTACAAGCTGAGCAGTGTGGAGAGAGTGCGAGGCGAGACAGTACACACACACATGGCCACACACGACGAGGTGCAGTACAAACGACGAAAGGAATCGATTCGAGTATAACGGTAATCGCATCGACACTTCATCGAGTAGGGGGTGGGGAGGGTGGATCGTGACGTCATCATCCGTGCGCGGAGGGGCGGGGCTGTGGGGAGGGGTAACGGAGGAGGGGCGGGGGAAAGGGGGAGGGGCGGAGGAAAGGGGGAGGGGCGGAGGAAAGGGGGGCGCGGGAAACTTGGGTCGCGTGCTGTAGGCGGTGAATCGTCGCCCCGCTAGCGCCATGGCGTCGGAACTCTATGAGGTAAAAAAAACCAACACATTTCTGTTGTATTGTTTAACCACTTTACACGTTACACTTTCATCGATAAAGTCGTAAACGCCGTTCGCGTTATCCGTCTAGGATGACGAAATGTTGGGTAGTTTTATTATGCAATTTATCTCGTGTGTGCGCAACGCCGCGCGCGCGTGTGTGTGGGCCGTCGCAACAAACGGCCACTCGCGCCCGCGCGGCAGGGCCGCGGCCCCGGACAGGCGGCACCGTGGCCGCTTCTCCCTCCACCCCCTGCCTCCTCGTTCTCCCCGCCTCAGTCGCCAGGGTCCTCCCACGCGTCTTTGTCTCCCGCGAGAGGCGTAGTCCGGCTCGGCTTGGTGTTACCAACGATGCCGTCACACGACTGCAGTGGGCTTGGTGGTGGCTGTGGCGCTCGTGGTGATCGCGGTAGAGTCGGTGACTGTGGTGATGAAAGGCGGCGGTCGTCTTTGTTGGTGTTGGTCGAGGAGACGGTGGTTGGTAGTGAAATAGATGGCTGTGGTGATGATACAGTTTCTGGTGAAAATTGTAGTGGAGTTGTGACCGTTGTAATGGGAATGGTGGTGTATTGTGGTTACTGATGGTTGAGTGGTGGGGATGACTGTGGTGGTGGGTGTGATAGTGATGGCTTTGTTTGTGGTGATGGACGTAGGGACTGTGGTGCGATTCTGGTGGTAATGGTTATGTTAATAGGTTTGGAGGGGGTGGTGTGGACAGCTTTGAGAAATAGAGGAGATGGTGGTGTTCATAGTGGTGGTGGGGATGGTGAGTGACAGGAGAAGATTCTGGTGAGGATTGTTACATTGATGGGGCTGTGGTGGTGATGGTAATTTCTGCGGTGATGGAGTAGATGGTGGATTAGTGATGAGGTTGTGGTGATGGTTATGACTCTGGTGGCGAATTGTGGTGATGAAGATGATGGTGATTGTGATCGATGTGGTGATACAGGGTGGTATTAATGGTGCTAATAGTTTTGTAGGAAATACTGTAGTTGTGTTATGATGGTGGTTGTGACACCATTATTTTTCTTGAGCTGGCGTGAGGGAAAAAATGAAGATATTGATGCTTGTAATAGTTTTAACGGGACTATTATAGGTGTGATATAGATGTCGATAGTCAGAATATAATATGTATTTGTTTTGGAGGAATCCAATTAGCTATACAGCTCTTTTCCACAGATGGCAGTAGTTTCACAGATGTTAAGGTAGTAATGCGGGTATGGGTGTGGTAATGTGGTAGAATGGGTGGTGTAATATAGTTGTAGTGTTGGTGGCGATAGTAATATGGTGGTAATGCAGTCGTGTGGCGGCTGGTAGTTATGTAGCTTATTTCGGGGTGTGAGACAAAGTAAATCTCACGGCAGTGATACCATCCAACTTCCCACAAACCCCACTGACCGTCGATAGTATGACCGGAGTTTCTTAGTTTTCTCAACGAGGAACCAATCTTAAAATGTTGCAGCAATGAGAATATAAAGTGTCCTTGTAGTAGTTAACCTCTGGACTGACCCTAGTGCTAAGCCAGTCATCTCGAGGAAGTGTGCTCGTAGTAGTTGCTATGCCAGACAAACTGTCGACAGGTGGGTCTGCTTATATACGTTCAGAAAAAAATAACGGGTGAGTGGACTAAGCCAGGCAGAAGGCTTCAAGCGTCAGTGGAGGAGAGGTACACCTCATCCAGGAGGCTCATGTTCAGAGATTCACCCTAGTTCCGACCGTGGATGTGGTCACATTGGCCAAGGTTTCTGCATGTTGGTCAATGTGACAATGGTACAACCTCTGGACTTGTTTCCTTCTCTGAAAGAATAGTTCTCTAGGTATATGCAGAAGGAGTTGAGTAGCACCCACATTGGCCATACGTATAACTGTGACAGCAAATTATGTTTCCTAAATGGGCATGTTCTTTCAGTTTATCTTACACAATTTGAAACGGGGAGCAAGGCAAACGAACTAAAGAAATAACTCTTTAAGGACCTCTCCCATGCTGCCGGTTTGTCCTGCATGGTTGTGTAGTGTCTTCAAAAATTACTCACACCGACACGTTGTAACAAGTCATCTGCTTACACTTTATTCACCTATTCTTGCACCAGTTGTGGGCACTCCTATAACTATCTGTACGGTCACTTATGGTTAACTTCTACCTACTCTTATCTACCTTTCGCCTCCCTTATCCTGCACTCAGCAGCTCTGCTCTCAGCAACTTCGCACACAGCATCTCCGCACACAGCAACTCTACATCTCCACCGCTGCCCTCACCTACGCTCCCTCAGACCCACTCACCCGCCTGTCCCGGGTGTGGGGATCAGCCAACACCTGCTCGGCGACGGCGTGAGGGTTGAGTTCCCGTTGACGGCTGGAGCGGTAGCGGCGAGATGTCGTCACTCTTGGTCCCCAGCAACAACTCCTCGCTCCGCTCACGCATACGCCCTTATATTCCTCTGCTAATTATCCAAGACCTCTCGTGCGTCTCTATAAGCTCTCGCCAGGCTGGGACCTGTTGAAACATCAATCAACCCTTATCTCCCGTCTCCCTGGCAACACCTCCGGTCACAACGTGCACAACCAGTCGACCCCGTTTGCACCTGCTTCGCCCCTTACAACTGGCGGCGCGAAGTGGCTGTGGTGTGACTCCTGTGAACGCGCAAGTTTGAAATGGGCGTAAAGCACAACTAACATCGGAAGGTGGTAGGATGGGAACATCAAAGCCAGTTATGACTTAAACTGGTTGATAACATCCCTGCAATGATTGCTCAGTTTGTACCCATCTTCTCGGTTGAAATTGTGTCTGTGTCTATATATATGAACGAATCTTTGTTCATAGTCAGTGGGCTTACAAAGTACCTTCGTCTTAGAGAAATCTATTTCGTGTGAGCCCACCGCATTAAAACAATGATCAGCCACGGCCGAAGTATTGGTCCTACCGTGTTTCAGATCTGCCTTATGTTCACGAACACGGCCCGAGACATGTCGCTTCGTTTCCCCAATGTAACTACTGCCGCAGACACAACTTAGTTTGTAGACGCCAAGGTATTGCTTGTTAGGGATCACATCATTCACAAATGGGATCAGATCACGAATGTTATGTACTGTGTTAAATTTAACCTGGATCTTGTGTTTGCTAATGATTTTGATAGTTTAAACTATCACCCCAACCGTTGGGAAAGAACCATCTGAGGACCCAATTAAAACCATCACCTTGTCATACATAGCAAAGGTCACTAAAAATGTTTCTACAATCATGAGCTAATCTCTCGATTAACATGCTAATTTTCACCTGGCATCCCTTTGATTGGTGGAAAACCAACCACCGTCGTGTTGGCTGCCCATTACTTGCATTAACATTGGCTGCTGACATTTGGGCTACGCACATTTCAAACGTCGTGATATTTTGTTATTTTCTTTGAACCAATCTTCGTGACTTTACCAAAAGACCAAAAAAATATTAATTCCTGCAGTCACGAAAGGTTTAAGTCAAGATCTGGAATAGGTCAACCACAGACCAATGGGTGCGAAGTGAGTTGTGGAGGGGTTAGAGTTCGGAGTTTCACGTGAGTCCTTTTCCGTTGGAAGTGGTGGTTACACAGTTGGGCAGACGAAAGTTGAGAGTCTTTTGGAGCTTCAGGCAATAGTCTGTTCCCAGACAGGTATGCCATTATATTCTTGGTACTTTCGGTAAAGTCACGTTGAAGGGAAACAATAAAATAATGGTATGCCATTATTATCTAATATCAAAGGGTCTGAATGTGTTCATGAAGCTTCAGATATGCAACATAGAAACTCTAGCCTCCATTCGGAAGGCAATCGGCCCAGGCATATGGCTCACTTCGGTAACTCTGAAGGATGCTGATCCACACCTCCCAGTGCTGTTGCTCCACTGGAGATTTCTCCAGTTCGTGGTGGTAAATATTGAGAGTTCTGTTCAGGAGTCTTCTCATCAGACTAAAGTTGGCTAGTGCATGAACAACTCCAAATTGTTATTACCTTAAATCGGTAGAGCCCTTTTGGATAACAGATACAGTGTTTGGTTTGTCCTGGACAGCTCTGGGAATGTGCCAGTCATTCTTGATAATATCTAATTGAATTTTGATTTAAAGCTTTCGTGACTGCAGTAATTCATATTCTTAGCTCTTTCGGTAAAGTCACGTTGAAGGGACGTTGAAACGTCGTGAGAATTTTTTATTGTTTTATATATTTTATTATTTTATTCTTTCCCTTCAACGTGACTTTACCGAAAGAGCTAAGAATAAGATCTAATTGGGTAAAATATTGGACGTTTCTCAAGACTGCAAAGAATGTTTCTTGGAAATACAGTTGTACCCCGGAGATCGAACTTAATTCGTTCCAGAGGGCCATTCGAACACCGATTTGTTCGAACACCGAATTAATTTTCCCCCTAAGAATTCATGTAAATGACATTAATTGGTTCCAGACACAAGAAATATCTCATAAATAATTTTTACACGAAGTTTACATGCATAAAATCATACAAAAAAAAACAAGAAACAATAAATAAATGGAATAAATTAATACATACATGAAATAAATGAACATTAAACTTCACTTTACCGAAGTAAGGAGAGTTGATGGCTTGAGTGGAAGGTGGTGAGGAGGTGGTGGTGTTATTGTTTGGAAGGGGAGTCCCATACGGTAAAACCTTTGTCTGGGCAAGCATCATGCACGCTGGCCATATGCGTCTCAGCCGTACAGATTCTTTCAAGTCGCGATTGCCCGTTTGACCTCCGAATTTCGTTCGGTTTCCGGGGGTAAAATATTCGGAAATATCGTTCGAACACCGATTTGTTCGAGTTCTGGTGCGTTCGATCTTCGAGATTCTACTGTATAATGAAGGTCCAATTTCGTCACCTGTTTAAGATAAAGTAGTCCGCACATCAGGCCTCTAAATTAATTATCCTCCATCTCTGGTGAAGACTCATTAACATATTTTATACAGGTAGTCCCCGACAAACGGTGGAGATGCGTTACGACGACCCC